TTTTGCTAAGAGTAGCACAAGCTTATTTACTGGTCGCTCGTAGACCTTCTTCTCTCCGTCTCTGGATGTCATAATCTGCACTTTCCTGACAAGCTGATCGCTGCTAGGGAACACTTTCGTGACGACTGCTAAGGGCCATTGGTTTCTCGGGGATTTGTTGTCTCAGACTAGTACGACATCTCCTTCTTTCATTGATCTTTTGGGAGTGGTCCATTTCTGTTGCTTTTGGAGTAGGGCGCAATATTCCTTCTGCCAGCTTAACCACAGTTGATTAGCGATGTACTGAATCCTTCGCCATCTTTTACGGGAATACTGGTCCGGTGACTCGAACTTTCCAGGTGGGGGCAACACAACTTGAGTTTTAAGAGTCAGCAAGTGGTTTGGGGTCAGTGTTTCCGGTGCTAGCGGGTCTGACAGGTTCTCTACTGTAAGGGGACGGCAGTTGACAATACTCTCGGCTTCGGTCATAAGTGTGCGTAGGGATTCATCATCAAGCTGGGTGCCATGATCTAATAACAGTGATGACAGGACAGATCGCGTGGTATGTATTTGATCTTCCCAAATACCTCCTATGTGTGAAGCACGAGGAGTATTAAAATTGAAGTCTATCCAGTCGCAATCTTGGGAAGAAAGGTACTCTTTGAGGGGTGTAGTGTTTAGCTCTTTGAATGCAGAGGCGAGTTCGTTCTTGGCACCGACGAAGTTTGTTCCCTGGTCGCATCTAAGCTCTCGAACTTTTCCTCTGCGGCTGAGCATTCAGGAACGAATCCGTCGTCTTGCTGTTCAAGGTTTCTAAATGAATCGCACGTGATGAAAGGCAGGTGAATATCATGCCCCATCGCTTGAGCTCTTTCCGTCCTTCTTTAATGTAGAATGGGCCAAACACGTCCATCCCAGTGTAGGTAAATGGAGGAGCTGGCGTGACGCGTTCAGGTGGTAGATCTGCCATCTTTTGGTTTTGGGTGTGTCCGCTTAAGTTACGACATACAACGCACTTGGACACGATGTGGGAGATTAGTGAAGGACCGTTGATGATGTAATATCCAGCTTGGCGAATGGCGTTGTAAGTTATGTCGTAACCTTGGTGATGCTGCTTCCCATGGTGGAACTGGTGTATGAGAAGAGTGGCCACATGACCCTTCTTAGGTATAACAATGGGGTGCTTAATTGAATAAGGTGAGGTTGCAGTCTTAAGTCGTCCTCCAACTCTTAGCAGACCTTGTTTATCGATGAATGGGTCTAGCTTGTGAAGGTTGCTGTTGAGCTTAACAACGCTATTTCTTTCCTGCGCATTCGTTCGATCTTGAAATTGTTTGTCGTTTCCTTCGAGCTTACTAAGGGTCTCGATTTCTTCTTTAAAGTAGTGGTGCTGAATGGATCTCAGAATTATACTTTCGGCTTGAGAGAGCTCTTCAACTAAGGGGGTTCCTTCTTTAGGGCGCCAGTTGTACTCTTTGTTTGGTCTAAGCCTTTCAATTGCTCTCTGTACTTGAACAATACATCGCTTGAGGTGGTTGAGCGTGGAGACATGCTTGAAGCGATCAGGTTCTAATATTCCAGATCCGGTTTGAAAGGTCTTGGTTTTGTAGACTTTTGTGGCCAACGTGGATGCTGGATCCTTTCTGACTTCGATGTCTGAAGGGTGCAGGGCGCAAATAGGCTGTTGTTGTAAGGGAAGTGGATCTTCTTACCACAGAAAACTTGGTCCTTTGAACCAGCGTTTACTTTGTATTAGTTCCTTTGCTGTTAGACCACGGGAGGCCTCATCAGCTGGATTTCCTTTTCCAGGGACGTGAAACCATTCTTCAGGAGAGCTGCGGTCTCTGATATGCTGTACGCGATTGCCGACGTAAACATGAAAGCGTCGCGCGTCATTGTTGATGTATCCTATTATGATCTCGGAGTCGGTGTAGTAGTAGCATTGGACGTTGTCTACGTCGAGTTCACTTTTGAGCATCCTGGTCAAGTTGACTGAAACAACGGCTGCTGTCAACTCTAAGCGAGGTATTGATATTGGCTTGATTGGAGCGACTCTAGATTTTGCCATAAGGAAGCTAACGTGAACTTCGTTTCTCTGATTTATCATGTGCACATAGGAAATCTGCCCGATCCCCTTGTCACTCGCATCTGAGAAGCTATGGATTTCTGTTTTGACTGGGTCTCCAAACTCCGATGGCTTGAGGTAGCAAGGAAACTTTAGTTTCTCTATAAGGGGGAGCTCTGTTCGCCATTTTTCCCAAAGTGGCAGGATATCTGTTGGAATTGGGTCATCCCAGATCACATTTTGACAACAGAGTGCTTGGAGTATCTGCTTGCCGTTCAATATGACGGGTGATACTGCTCCGAGGGGATCATAGACTGAGCTGATGGCCGACAGGATCCCGCGACGTGTTACAGGTTTATCTCTTAGTTCAATACGGAATCCAAACGTGTCTGATTTGATACACCAGTATGTACCGAGGGACCTTTGAACAGGCATTGGGTCATGCCGAAGATCTAAATCTTGTAAATCCTTTGCGCGGTTGTTAGCTGGTAGAACTTCTAAGACTTCTTTACAGTTACTCGCGAACTTGTGCAGGCGTAGATTGTCCTTTGTGCACATTGTTTGTGAGTCATTGATTAATTGCAGAGCTTGTTGTGCTGTAGGGACGGATTTGAAGCCGTCGTCCACATAGAAATCTCTAAGGAGAAAGTCTGAAGCGATGTCGCCAAACTCCTTTCTGTGAGTTTCTGCTGTTTGATGTAAGCAGAAGTTAGCTACGCCGGGAGAAGAAGCTGCACCAAAGAGGTGTACATTCATGCGGTATTCAACGATTGGTTTTGTTAGGTCGTTGTTTTCGAACCACAGGAAGCGCAGAAAGTTCCTGTCTTTAGGGGTTACGTAGAAGCTGTGAAACATTTGCTCGATGTCGCAAGTGAAGGCAACTTCTTCTTTTCTCAATCGTGTCAGCACTCCGATCAGCGAATTTAACTGGTCCGGGCCTTGGAGCAGATGCTTGTTTAATGACTCGTTCTCAAACACGGCGCTGCAGTCAAATACGACTCGGATCTGGTCCAGTTTTCTTGGTTGGTATACGTGGAAGTGGGGAAGGTGCCATACTTTGCCCTTTTGTACTGAGTTGATCAACAGAAACTCGGCTTGTGTGACCGTTATCAAGTGTTTTCTTCATAAAGGCTAAGTAGTCTTCTTTAAGTTTGCTATTGTTTAAGAGCCGCCTCTTGAGGGAAAGAAGCCTTCTTAAACAGTGCCCTTTATTGTTTGGTAGTGATAGATCATCAGATTTGAAGGGTAGTGGTGCTTCCCAGTTTCCATTTGTGTTTTTGTGCAAACCCATAGTTAGCATCTCCCGGAAGCGTTTATCTTCTATAGACTCCGCTTGTTCGGTTCCACGAATCTTACGACTGTGGTGAATCTCACTGTAATCGAGCTCCATCATTTCACGTACTTGTTTTGGGCTGGTTACGTCCTTAGTATTTATTACTTTCTCAAAGGATGGTGGTCTGGATGTTTCCTTGCTGCGATCTAGGAGGGTTTCTCTTTCCACTGTTACTCGATTCACCGATGCTGAGTTTTGTGTTCGCTGCTCGTCCTTACTGACACGACCTATTATGGTCCAGCCAAACTTGTACTGCTCTGCCCAGGGCTCTTCATCTTTTCCGAAGATGACGTTTATAGGTTGGAAGGCAGCTGGAACGTTGCCTCCCATGAGCAGGCCTATATCGACGTCAGAGCGGTGCTGTATCTTGTCTGCAATGTGAGATGTTTCTATTGACTGACTATACGGGGTGTGGCAATATCCTTGTGTGAAACGGGGATATATTCTCGTGAGTACGCAAACGGGACTTTGATTGGTCCATTTTCGTTTTCTAAGTCTTGAATGGATAGTCCAACTACTTTCTTGGTTCTAATCGAATTCGAGCCGACGATCGTGTTAACTTGTAGGTCAACCTCAGTTGCGTCTACTTCCAGTTGTTCTAGTAAGGCGTCAGCGATGAACATATCCGTGGATTGGTCGTCAAGGACTGCGTAGGTTGTTATTTTCTTAGCTGGATTCGATTGATGATATGCTCTTACTAAGACGATTCTAGCACACGACCTGCTGGTTTCCTCCTCCCCGCAGACTTGCGTGCAAGCTGTAGTGGTACTTTTGGTGTCGGTGGTCGTGGTATTTAGTTTATCTTTACTGCCAGGTGTGGCCTCGACATGAAGTGCTGTCACATGTCTCTTACGGCAGATGTCACATACTGGAGGTGTTTGATCGCATTTATCGGCATTATGCTTGTTGTAAGCCATACACTTAAAACAAAGTTTGTTTTTCTTAAAGAAGTCTCTCCTGTCGTCTAAGGCAAGGTCTTGAAACTTCTTACACTCATTTAGGGTGTGCGACTTAGTTTTATGGAAGAGACAGAGGTCTTTATCTTTAGAACTGTATTCCGATTTCTCTTTCTTTGTTTCTGGGGTCGGGACTTTGCTTTCACCGGTTGCTTTTGATGCCATGGTCGTTGTACCAGGAATCCTTTTACGTGGTAGGGGGTTTGTTGTCGGAGTTGTTCCTAGGGATTGTCGCACCGGATTTTTGACTCCCTGTCGGAAAATCTGAGGAATGTTCATGCGATCGGCATGGAAGGTTACTTCTTCAATGAATTCCGTGAAGGTCGGTAATGCGTTGCAGCCTTTTTCTTGTTGTAGGGTTTGTACCTTTGTGGACCATTTCGTAAGGAACCAACCTGGGAGCTTTTCGACTAAGGTTTGCAGCTTGGAAGGATACTCGAATATCTTAAGGCTGTGTAAATGGTTCATCACTATTTCGACTTGCTGTAAGAAGTCGCTAAATTCTTGCAGACCTTGCGCGTCGTTATTGGCAACTTTAGGCCAGTTTGCTAGTTTGTTCTCAAAGTCAGTAGCTATAATCGCGGGACGACCGAAGCGTGTCTTCAGTTTCTTTCGTGCTTCCGTATACGCTATTTCAGGGCTAGCGCTGACCATATATTGGAGTTGCTCAACGACTTTTTTCACGTTTCCGTCTAAGTGTTGGTACAATAGATACAGTTTCTGCTGAGCGCTGATCGGCGCGGAGTCGATAAGCACGTCGAACACTGTTTCCCAGATGAAGAATTTGGTGTCTGTTTCGTTGCCAGTAAATATGTCTGGCTTGGCTTGTGGGAGCCGTTGCAGTTGCGTGACTTTTGCTGAGGCGTCGGCAATTTGAACTTGGAGGAGCACGATTTTGACTTTCGGGAGGTGGAATTCTTATTTCGCGGTAAAGTGTGGTCGGCGAACTCTTCGGGGTAAAGGCGTCAGCATCTCCACGGAGTTTGTAAGTACTTGAAGGTATAGGTTTTGAACTGCTTACAGGGCCTGCGTGGGAATGAGAAGTCAGGGGGCCCGTGCTTCTGTTTGTTTGCCCTTGAGGAAGTAAAACGATTGGAGTACTTGTTTCTGCAGGTGACGTGTAGTGAGAAGTACAGGGGTAAGAAATATTGGTAGCAAAGGCGGGAATTTGAGGTGTTGGCATCCCTGTGCCTTGATGCGTTTCGGGTGGACTGTTCGTTGTAGGATCAGATTTTAGTTGTTCTGCTATCTCTACATGATAAAGAGGCTCGTGTTCCGATACATTTGAGGGATGGGAGACTACTTTATGTCCTGTGTCTAAATGGAAGTTAGTCGTGAGTCCCCCGTCCGGGAGGGTGATGTTATCTGACAATCCCACATGGTGTGGGTTTCCTGTGTTGTCACCAGACGTGACAAATTGGTGAGCATTGTTCTCATTCATTGATGGCGGTAACAAACTTTGGGTCGCTGTGGTCGAAAGGGTGGGATGAGATGCGTGGTTCAAAAATCTATCAATCATATTTTCGGTTTCTTTCGGCAATTCTAAATCCATCTCTTCATTACCGGGCGGTTTTTCTTCTTTCAACGCCTCCTCATAGACGGCTTCCGCTGCTAAGAATTCATTTAACTCTTGCTGCATTTTCAGTTTATTTAGGATCCTTTGTTGTTCTTCAATCTTATCGCTAAATTTCATTTTCTCTTCTAACGCCGCACGTTTTGCTTTGACAGTTAAGAAACTTTCTCTTGAAGAGCGCGACGAACCGGAATATGACGAGTTTATCGAGTGTCGTGACGTGCGTGACGATTTTGATCTCATGCTGGCGCTCACGGACAATGTTTCATCTTTGTCTAGCGCTAATACTCTATTAAACGCGGCGGTTTGTACTGCTTGAATAGAGTCTTTAATTGAAGAAAGCAGTTCGACTATGAGTTCAGATCGCGGAGTGTGTTTTACGAGATCTAGCCAGATGTTTAATTCGATTTCCGTTTTTTCTGCGAGGGCGATTATATCCTTGAGCTTCCTGTCAATTTGATTGCGGTCTTTCGTGCCGGCCAAAAATGCGTGGAATGCTGTGACGTTAGCGTGAAAACTTTTGTGTGCGGCTTTCGCTGATTTTTCTTTAAGCTCGCAACAGAATCGAAAACCTTTTTCTGTCATAGTTCTAGAACGTGTTTCCGATGTTTCGCCATTCTTAGGGGTTGCTAGAGCTGTATTTTCGGGATGATCGGTGAAATGTGCATTATGCGCTAGAGTTTCATTAAATCCAGTATCGGTAGTTTCGTCTTGGGTTTCTGGGGTATCGCCTGGATTTGTTTTTTGCTGGGCGTTTTGGGAGTTGTCTATGGCGAAGCGCTTGTATTTTTCACAAGAAGCTGGACAGAGTGATGACACAGAGACACTGTAGTTTTGTTCTAAACTCTGTTTCTACCGTTAACTAAGGGGTAATTAGGCAACGTGGGTCTTCGCGATGTCTACAAAAGGTTCTTCTTTGACTGGATTCGTTTTTAAGAACATGTTCTTCGGTTTTCCTCAATAGATTAACAACGTCTTGCCGAGCACGTGCTCTTCACCTCTTCTCAGTAGTTTCTTCTTTTTCTTCCTCTTTTTGTTTTCGGTTCGGTTAATAAAGGAACGGACTTACTTGTTGAGTTCCCGCTTGACTGCTCAACTATTTCCAGGGACGGACTTGTCGCTTGGGTGAGCTTGTTTGGTTGATCTGGGCTCCAGGAGCTTGCTTGACTTATGGTTCGCAGATTTGACTTAACTGAGCAGAAATTCGACTGTAGCGGCATCAGCTCCGGTGTCGGAGAGATCCGTGAAACTAAGAAAAACAAAGCGACTCACGGGTTCCACAAGGCTCGGGTTTATTGTGCCAACTTTTACAGCGATTCCGTTGTAGGACATGTTGGGGCGAACGCTCTAGTAGGTTCTGAGTTCAACAGCAATAAAGCTTGAAAATGGTTACCCATCGAATTTCTGTGAGCCTTAGAGAAAACTATGCACGTGTAGCAGTATTTAAGCTAAGGTCACGTGACGGCTAGCGGAAAATCATTGTGACGTAAAATGCGGTTACAATAAAGAAAATAGCTAAAAATACAACAAAACTAAACTAAGGCACACGGGTGCCGTTACACACCTGGTGAGGACTTTCCTCTGTGCTGTACTGCTGTTCGGTTGCTGTAAGAGCGCGACTTGTGTAGGTGTTAGCATGACTTTCCTCAGTTTTCGGGTCTACTTGTGAGAGGATGGTTGCCAAGCTGACTGGACTTGCATCAACAGATCTCTGTACCCTCCTGTGGATCAAAGTAGGCAGTGACGGGTGCACTTACTAGTGCTTCTCTTTAGTTGGCTGACTGTGTGGTCATGTCCTTCCGTCCAACACTATGGTAGGTCCTTGTGGGTGAGCTTGCGCAGGGGCCTTGTCTTGGTAGTGTAGTCAAGGATGAACCTCGAACAGTAGTTCGTCATCCCCAGAAGGCTGCGTACTCTGATGCTGTTGAGGTTGTCTGAAGATTGACGACATCTGCAACTTTCTTGGGGACTGGTGAGATGCTGTCTTTGGAGAACATATCCAAAGAGACTGGGACTGGGCGCCAAATGGAGTAGTCGTGTTTTTTTGTCGTTCCGACGCTGCCTTGCCGTTACACTATATCAGTTTCAGGAAATTAGCCAAATCAGCCTCAAACTATTCAGAGAATCTTTGCTTTTCCTTTCCGTTATGCCCAACGAAAAGCGAGCGAGACAACAGGCATGCTTAAGCAGTGAAGATGAAAGAACGCCACCGCATAAACATGAGGCCGGCGCCGCCATCTTGGAAAGCATACACGAAAAGCTAAAGAAGATAGACGTGCTTGAACAAATAAACGGAAGACTGCTGAAGATTGAAAATACCGTAGGTGACATGGAAAGAGGACTTAACTCTATGACAGCAGAACTGCAGAAGGTAAAAACGGATTTAGACTCAAAAGCAGATAACACCACTGTCGATGCGCTGAAGGATGAAATCGAAGAATTACAAAACAGGTCAAGAAGGAACAACTTAGTCTTCTACAATATACCAGAGAAAGCCGAAAAAGGAGATTGCATCTCTTTTGTACAGGATTTTATTACGCAGCATATGGGCCTTGAAACGTTATGTGGCCATGTTGAGCTGGAGAGGGCACACCGCACGCCAAGCAAAACGCCTTCTGCTGGTGAAAAGGTTTCCCAGACCAATGCACGTCGCTTTTCTTCGATACACGGATAAGATGAAGGTAGTAAGGAATGCCGCCGCTCATCTAAAGGATTACCCGTTAAACGGAAATGCCATCGGTATAAGTGAGGATTTCGCCAAAAACCCAACGGCGGAGGCAAGAGCTCGTGCCCTACAGAAAGTTTGTAAAGAAGAAACTCGGAGACGACCGGAAAGTCTACATCGTATATCCTGCAATACTCAAATATGTCGATGCCAATGGCCGTCACAGAATCGTAGGAACAGAAGAACTAGCAAAACTACGCCATGAAATGGAAGAGGCAAAGAGTTAACCTAGCAATGCCGTCGGAGTGATACTGACCAACAACAACTTTAATCTCACATTCTACCCATTGTTGGAGTTAAAAGAACTTCACAGGCAATGCCTTTAATTTGTTTCATAAAAGGTAATTTTCGTTTTTATGTTGTAAGTGATGCAATGTTTTCTCCAGGCTTTAGCTTAAGAAGGCTTCTGTATTGTGAAACTATTAAGATATCGATATTTATTCGTTAATGTGAATAAGTTAACTTTTATTACGTTAAATGTTAGGGGTTTAAATAGTTCAAGAAAACGAAGAGCTATTTTTCGGCAACTGCACGTTAACAAGTACTCAATAATTTTCTTGCAAGAGACATATAGCTCTACTGACCAAGAAAAATTATGGAGTAACGAGTGGGGTAGTAAAGTGTACTTCTGTCATGGAAGTAAACACAGCAAAGGAGTAGCAATTCTGTTTAATCCTCGACTCAAAGTGCTAGTAGAAAATGAAATTTGTTGTGAAAACGGCAGGATTCTTATCCTGCAGTTTTCTATAGATGATCAGAAATTTATTTGTGCCAATATTTACGCACCCAATAATGATAACGCGCAAATTATATTTTTTAAACAACTCAGATCTTTACTTGAACAGTTTCCCAACGACAACATTTTAGTAGGTGGCGATTTTAATTGCCCTCTTTCCAAAACCGATAAAAAAGGAGGACGTGATGTTTCGTCAAGAAGGAATGTCACCAGCGAGATCGAGCAACTGATGTGTATTTTAGATTTAGACGACGTATGGAGAACGCTACATCCAGAAGAAAAACAATTTACTTGGCGAACATCTGACTTGAAAATAAAATGCAGATTAGATTATTGGCTAATAGCCCGTCAACTATTACAAAATTCCCCCGTGCAGAAATGTGAAATCAAGCACGCTGCACATTGCGATCACTCTTTAGTGACGTTGGAATTGCCAGTTAATGAGAAATACCCAAGAGGACCTGGATTCTGGAAATTCAATTCCTCCCTCTTAGAAGATGATGAATATGCAGAAAAATTAATGTTTAAAATTCCGCACTCTATAAACAAGTATCAGGATCTTGAAGATCACGGACTCTTATGGGAGTTGATTAAAATGGAAATAAGGGCGTTCACAATTAGTTATTCAAAACAAAAAGCTAAAATGAAAAAAGATTATGAAAAAGATCTCGTACAGGAAGTCTCAAGACTGGGAAATATGGGTGAAAACTGCCCATCAGCAGAAGCCGTCCAGAGATACATTAAAGTTAAGAACGAATTGGATAAGATTTCCTACGACCAGGCAGGAGGAGCATGTGTGCGCTCCAAGGCCCGTTGGCATGAGTTCGGCGAACGAAGTTCGAAATATTTTCTTAATCTTGAGAGACGAAATTATGAAAATAAATGCATTACCAGCCTTATACAAGAAAATGGAAGCAGTATCACAGACCCAAAGGAAATCCTAAAAGAACAAAAAAGATTTTATCAATCCTTATATTCCTCGCAAAATCCTCAAGTAAACGATCCTAAATTCAAAGTGTTCTTCGATAATGACAAGGTAGAAAAGCTGAATGATGAACAAAGAAAGAACTGCGAAGGCTTGCTGACGGAGAATGAGTGCTGGAATGCTTTAAAATGTTTCCAAAAAAACAAATCCCCTGGCAATGACGGTTTTACTGCCGAATTTTACAGCTTCTTCTGGAGTCAATTAGGCAAGATAATGGTAAACAGTTTTAATTATGGATTCCATAAAGGTGAGCTGTCAATTTCTCAAAGACAAAGCATCATACGTCTTATTCCAAAAAAGAACAAAAATTTATTGTATCTTAAAATTGGAGACCTATTTCACTTTTAAATGTGGATTATAAGATTGCCTCTAAAGCTTTAGCTCTCAGACTAAAAAAGGTTCTATCGGCAGTTATAAATAACACACAAACTGGTTACGTAGAGGGAAGATTTATCGGTGAAAACATCAGACTTATAAGCGACATCCTCAATTTCACCGTTGACCAGGACATAGAGGGAATTGCTTTATTCATCGATTTTGAAAAAGCATTCGATAGTTTAGAATGGGAGTACCTATTTAAAGCTCTAGATACCTTTCAATTTGGACCCGACTTTAAGACTTGGGTGAAAACTCTGTACACAAACATTTCTAGCTGCATAATAAACAACGGCTTCGCCTCCGAGTCATTTACTTTAAAGAGAGGAGTAAGACAAGGCTGCCCTTTGTCTGGCTTGTTGTTCATTTTAGCCGCAGAATTACTGTCTTGCTCAATAAGAGCTGATGAACATATAAAGGGAATTCGAGTCCTAAACAAAGAAATAAAATTATCTCAATATGCCGATGACACCACCTCCTTTTGCAAAGATAAAGAGTCGCTTGGGAAACTGTTAGAGTTATTAGACCTATTTAAAGATTGCAGCGGTTTAAAGCTTAGCCAAAGTAAATCTGAAGCAATGTGGCTTGGAAAAAACGCAAATAGGACTGATGCACTATGTGGAGTTCAGTGGCCACAAAGGCCTATCTCCGCCTTAGGGATATCATTCTCTTACAATCTAAAACTTTGCGAACAGGAAAATTTTTCACAAAAGATATGTAAAATTCAAAAGCTGTTTAATATATGGTCTCAAAGAGATCTATCA